TAAACACAATACCTTTTGTGTAGCTTAAACAAATGCAATGCTATTCAAAATGACTAGTTTGTAGAATGAGGCGTCTTCAAATCTAGGGCAGTGTCTGCTTTGGACTTTTATTTTGTAAAAGCTCCTGCGTACTGCGTCTAAAATAAAGATCAAACGATTTGCACATTATCAAAATAACAAACTCTATAACGGAGAACATTTAGCAGTCTGGACTTATTGTTCATGCCACCTTTTGTCTGGACCGCTGACTGGAACTGAAAGTATTCTTTAAGGGACAAACAGTTAGTCTTCCACAAAGCACTTAGAAAAAAACCCAAGAAGTTTAGCCTACATTTATTCAGTAGTAACAAGCAGTGCCCTTGAGTTTGTAATAGTCAACACAGAGGCCTCAGCCAGGCCATTTTTTTTTTTTCGAGCAATAGAGAGACGACAGTGTGGGCAATACGAGTGTTGCTATGGTGACGAGAATATCTTGCTTCTCTGTCAACAGCTGCTCATGCCACCCTAAATACCCCCCACTCTCCTTGAGCTTTCTCTCCATCTGACATCAGGGTCAAACAAACAAGAAAGACAACCAAAACACTGATCTCCATTCTAAGCTGCCCCCGCAATGTTTCCCTACCTAGAGTTTACACACACATGGCACTGATACTACACACAGCCCTTTGGTGGGTGTGTGTGTGTGTGTGTGTGTGTGTGTATCCTGCTTAGCCATTGACTGCGAATGAGGAATATATGTTTGTATATCCTTGTAAATAAAGATACTTAAGATTGCACACAACGCTGGTGAGACTGTTACTTTAGACAATGTATACAATTGTGTTTAGCTATATGAGTATTTGGTATGATAATACACAAAGCTATTGATAAATACCAATAGCAGATGAAGTACATATCTCACAAAGACACTGGGCCAGAAAAAACTGTCTTGCTGGGAGGTAATAAATACACCATTAAGCTTCTGCAATAAAAACGGACTTTGTAATATTTCACAGGGAACCGGTAAAGATGACCTATAGACATATAGATGTGATTTAAAGGAATAAGGTGCATGTAGAACATTTCCCCAAAGACTATGCCAGGCATTTGTTACAGGTAGGCTATTGAAAGAACCGGAGACACACTACAAGGAGTAGGAAGTTACAGCAGTAGCAAACACAAAACTTTCACTGACATCTCGCAGGTGGTCGTTTCGTTTCAGTAGAATTGCGTTCAAATCCGTGTTTCAGTTTCGTGCAACAACAAACCTACCAAAGCTTGCCCGGTCAAAGCTATTCACCAATCAGTAAAAACTGAAATCTGCCTTTTATAAAAAAGACATTTGCAGACTTCCATGCAAGTGCGGGACCAATGAATGGTTCGGTAACTACTCATTAGTTTAAAACATTGCATGATCTAATTTATAGAAAGATAACTAACTACTCATGCAGTTGAACGAAACCACTGTCTCTGCTCTCGGGTGGTCGACCAACATCTCTGGCTTTCGATTTCAATTTCTTTAATGTATCGCTAATTGTAATACTTATTAAGTTGACATGCAGCAAAACAACTTGGCAGCTAGTTAGACCAGAAACACGCATCTGTGAAAGAGAGACGGCCACAAGAGATGCTGAGTCCCTGATATTTGCACTCAATGTTGCCGACAGTCATTTCCCACATAGTATACAAGCTGCAAAATGTAGTTTATTTGAAATATCTCCCACCACTTATTTGTCATACAACGGTGCTATGTTGGAAAGTACAGCCCATTCATCTTTTATCCATAGACAATGGAGTAGGAACCTTCTTGGCTTGTATGGACATGAATCACCAGAACTAAATGATACAAATTCCTGTAACAGTTATATTTCTCAGACACGGTTCCGCTTGTAAGGATACGCTCCTCTTTTCTTACTTACTTGCTACACCGTCTACAAAAGATAAGCTTACATTGCTGAATCAGTAAGGGGATGAAAACACACAAATCTTGGCTCAAGTAAAGACGTTTTTTCACTCGGGCATTTAATTGCTTGCACAACTTCCGTAACACTCATCCAGCTGGCGCGATAGTGCTTCAAACCCCTTCCTCATGAAAAACTGGTTAAAAATGAGAATGATATAAACATAAATCATAACCTTTCAAACATTGCTTGTTGTCAATATTTTTGAAATCACATTAGGAGAGATGTTGAAAAGTGAATGTGATGGACCGCTAAAATTAGGCTTTAAAGAAGAAAAATGAATCTTAAGCTATGATGGGTTCAAACATTACAGATTACAAATCAACCGCAAACAGCAGAACATTTAAACACCCGTAAATACATCTGGCTTCCTCATACTTGTTTTAATTATAATACACACAAAGACAGAGTCAAGACACAATGGATACAAGTTCACACGGCTATCTGAGCCGCCCTAAATCCAAATGAATAACTATAGCCTTGAACTAGCAGAACTTGTAGGGGCGTTATTTCAGAGTAACCACTAGAGTGCCACTTGGCTGGTCGCCCATGCACACTGCAAGACTCTTTTGGAGGGAGAGAAAGGCTCACCTCCCCCCATGGCCAATCATAAATAAATACTGCTACAGTACAGAGATGTTTGGACAGCCAGATACAGAGCTTTGCAGCACCACAAGGCCGACATGGCTTTCTCAGGGACAAGGACGTCCTTGCCATACTTATGAGCAGAGGATACATTTCTGTTTTGAACAGTCCAACACAAATGTATTCTGGCTTTGCAGGCGTCCCTTCTGTGGCCTTAGTGTACAAAACCCATTGTAATAATAACATTGAAAAGAATGATGTGACTACAAGCCAATGGGTAAATGAATTATGATTCTTCACATAAGGAAGGCAATCCTCTTTTGTCAGAACATACAGCATTGAAAACCAAAGACAATCATCTCAAATCCTGTCCCTGAACAGGAGGCAGACAGACAATAACCTGTGGGACAGCAGCATTATCAATGTATGTCCACAGTCGCTCAGTGCAAAGGTAACCGTGTCCTTCTTCCGAAAAACCAAATCAAAAAGGGTCAATAAAAGCCATTGAGAACAAAATGTTAAACTAGGAATGATTTAAAAAACATAAAGCTACCCACTCTTTAAAAATCAGACATCTCCATAAGAGGTAACGAATGACTTTAGACACTGACATATTGAATAATAAATGAAAAGGTTATGTGGTAGGCCTATGATAAGTGGTGTGAAACATGCAATTAAGACATAATAAAACTCCTATTGTTCTTTAAATAGGTGGCACTAAACCTGTAACCACTGCAATTAGGGTTGACTGCGAGTGCTGCACTTTGGGGACACAACTGGTTCACAATTTAAATAAAAGAAAATATTAACAAAATCACATAAAATCCACAAATGTGTCTTTAACCCCAGATTTTGCTAAATTAGTGAAAGCCATAATAAGTAAGACAGACGTTGCAGTATCTTCATGATAGGACAGTCACTGTTTATCAAAAATGTTGGATATATTTAACCAAACTCTAACAACACACTGTGACTGTGCAACAGGACAGTCCCAGTGCTCCAGGGGGGGCTCTGAGCTAAAGCATGCCTTGATCCCTCAGTAACTATGCTGGCAAAATGTAGAAAATAGTATTGACCCCAAATAGTCTGAAAAGAAATGCATCGGAGGGTTAGATTGATAGATAGATATAAAAAATATTGAATTTAAGTTAGGCTGTTTGTGATTTGGATCGGCCTCACAGTAACAAGAGTAACAAGACACCTAACCTGAAGTCATCTGTTAGGTTATGATGTCAACAAAGAAAACATCATAATCATTTTCAAAACAAAATGTGAGAAGAGGTTAAGTGGGTTAAGTTAAGATTTATTATAACAATTTATCTTTCAATATAGCCTTTTTTTTTTAACATTAGTTGAGGCATCTTTCTGGTGAGGAAATTAGTGAAGATTAGAAAGTGTCATACAGCTTATGACCAAAAAACGGTGGCAGCCAAATAGTCGGATGTAGTCACAGACAGTCAGTGTGTCTCATTGCAGAGGTTCACATCAATGCAACTTCTTTGTTCAAATTCCTCCTTCTGACATCAGTTAGTGTGAACATACACCAGCCACTAGGTCAATGAAAATGGGGGCATCACTAAGGCATCAATTATTTGGGCCATTAAAGTAGAAGAAGGTTCAAACTGCAGTGTGCTTTAGCAGTTATGTTCATCTGAATCCTTCTCCTGTGTTGCTTTAATGGAGATACAAACACTTTGATTCTTAGAAGCTAAATAAGACATGTGTCTGTACATGGTGTATCCCATAATTCAAAGAAGAACAACTATTTGGAAAATACAAGACTTTATAGGTCACAATACTTTTTTATTAAGTGTTTGGTGAAAATGTTAACATAAAAACATCACAAGCTTCTCATTTAACTAGGTTTCTTTTGATACATTGGTGCCTCTGTTGTGCTTTAAAGGTTACAAAGAGTCAGGAAACAGCTTCACATTGTAGTAATAGAGTACTATGAACTGGCACTGTCTAGTACAGTCGGATGTATTCACCCCACTTGTGCATGCACGTCCTAAATCTGAATGGCAATGTAAATATGTATGTATGTAAACATATTAAGCTTGAACAAAAATACTTAAACTGCACTGGGGAAACTTAATGTGGTGTAGGTTTTCTATTGTGCTATTTGGGCAAATCGGACATATCTTAATAATTGTCCAAAATGTGACCACCTCTAAAACTTATTGTGTTTTGAAGAGCAGTCCACAGCTTCTCTGCCTTGAATGCTTTAACAAGAGTGTTAAAAACAGTCTCAGAAAGTAGGACGTTTGGACAACCGAAAGGGAGAAAATCAAAAGACACAAGCAGAATTTCAACACACGTGTGGAGTCGAAGGGTGACTGAGCTGTGTGCCGGTAACCTCATAATCAACACCATAATCGCCAATTTGTGAATGCCATTATCCTCTTCGCGTACACACAAACACAGACGCAGGCTGAATGCAGGGCAGCCCAAAGCATGCCTCTTTAACTGGCTTACCTTTTATTGTGAGAGTGAACTCGTGGTGTCCGCCGCCACCTCTTCCTCTTCCACAAGGAGAACCTCCAACTTCAGCAAGCTAACGACGACTTTCCTCCCATTTTGCTTATCGTCATATTTCAAGTTCCGACCACCGCTGTATATGTGACTCACTCTCGATTCATTTGGCGAGCTAACAAAGCTGTAATCGCTCAGACACAATCTTAAGTGGCGGTAAAGTTGGAATACACCCGAGTTTCTGTGGCTGAGGCTAGTTACTCTGAGGAGTTTCACCATTCACTGAGAGCTCAGACGTAGACACCGCAGCAGCAGCAGGCGCTGAGCGGGAGAGCGACGTAGACACAGAGCAGAGAGAGAGAGAGAGGGGTGGTGGGGGGTAAACATTTAAAACACAAGGTTATTAATTGATTTACTTGTAGTTTATATCGTGTTTATCTGCCAACTGTTGTCTAAATGACGTGCTGAAATTTCAGTTTATAAACGTATACCAGATAACATTTCATTGAACTGCATGCTTTCAATGGCTGTGTGCTGTTACCACATAGCTACTGTATAGATTAAATGTACCTAAAATGGCGCTTTTTTGGGCTAAAAACCTACATGTGGTTGCCCCACCTATATTATTAAAATAGCACACTCTCGAAAAACCAATAAAATGACTTATTACTTTAATATGTTGGGTGTTTTTGCTAAACTGAGTCTCAAAGGGTACAGTCTACTGTGTTGCCTATCTGGCCTAGTCTGAGCCACTTCCCCTCCCCCAACTCTTCACACTATTTTTCGCTTGCCCGGTCACCCAGCGGTTGATTAATTCTCCTTTCGCCTTGCTCAGTCATTCAGATTTGGAAAGTAAATAACAAGTTGACATCATTACGGCTCTACACTGGTGTGACACATTCCTTTGGTTACCGTACAAACGGCAGTATTTGCGCACTTAATATTCCATTCTTAAACCATAACTGCTTCAACTGAAATGTATATTACTGCATGTTGTTAGTTGCATAGCCTACTACACGTTTTACGTGAGTATTGGTTGTTGTTTCCAAACAAGACAGTTGGTAGGAATTAGCCTGCCCTACACTGTAGCCATTTTGGTTGTAAACAGAGCCAAATCTACGAGGGTGCCTAATTTGGGGGATTTGTCAACCAAGAGGGAATTACCATTCTTAATTAAAAAATGTACATGTCATGTCCATTGGAAAGCCTGGTCGTAATTTAGAAGCATAATATGTTGATTACTCTCAGGCCGTAAACAAACAAATGATATGTCTGTTGGACTGAAGGAAAGTATTTCTAAAAATCAGGCAAAAGCCCTGATTATAAACTAAAAAGTCCCCATATGTAATCAAAGACTGTGGGAAAATTGACCTACAGCAAAATCCCAGCAAATCTTTTAGAAGCTTAAGGTCAGTAACTCATTTTGTATTTATTGAGGAAGATGATCAGCTATAGAGAAATATCAATGTGGTGCTCCACTGAGTATATGGATACTCAACAAGATACCGCATGGGGGATTCATTTCAAACAAACAATGCCTATGTTCATTGTGAAACATATCACCCCATTCAACCATGTCGTTCAGTGATGTATTTCTAAAACTTTTTGGATAACAACATGGGTCTAATGGACAGAGGAATGAACTACAATAATTACATCATGATTTGGTTTTCCATTGATAACAGTATAGCAACATTATGGCTAAATGTTGGTGTTTTCATGCATGGCATTTGATAACAACGAAACACATATTGAATACCACCAACCCTCTTGATTTCCTGCATAACATACAATGTTTTCTGTAAGATCTTGAATATCAGTGCACCTCATGGCTTTGTCCATTGCCGGGCATTGTTGTCCTCTTTTCTTTCATACACATTTTTCTCTGGACCATAATCCTCACAGGACCCAGCCATAGTGGTATATTACATACTGAATTAGACAATGTAACAAACACACAGTTCAAAGAAGACATGCATATGTCAGTCAGTCTCTGATGTGCATATTTTGCACGACCATATGCAACACAGAGGATTCTGTCAGAGCTGTTCTCTAGAGCAATCTATATTTGATGAGAGCAGATAAATGGATATGAGCTCATCCCTGTAGCCTGCCAAATAACAGTTACAGAGTGCTTTATTCACAGTTATATAGATTTCAGGGAGTAAGTGAGGAATCTCATTTCAAGAAAAGGCCAAATGAAAACGTTTCCCCATTCATATCTGGCCTTATTCAAGATATGACCTGTCTGCATTTTACAGAATTATTTGTGTTGCTCCATGCTACTCACTGTAAGATTCATCCCCTTACTTTCTTTGTCTAATGATTACAAAAAATGCAATTATCAATATATTATGTGTGGTGCATACTAGATGAGTTATGTAACACACTTATTAAGAAGTGTAATTCTGAAAAGCCCTGCAAAGCGTTCTCCACATTATGCTTCAATGTTGCTGTGATGCAGTACAGTGTAGGAGTTGCAGTTAACCTGGTTGAACTGGCAGATACTGATGCACACAAGGGCTATACTGCATGGTGTGTTGAATAACAATTTAGTTCAGATGTCAATTCGAAGTTATAACTTTAAGTTCAACATGTATACGCTGAGGTGTTAGCCCATACATGAAATGTTCTTAATAACAAGACAAAATACATATCAGTTCAATCACCTCTGAGCTTCTCAACTAACAAATAGAAATGTTACGCTTGCTTAAAATGGTCTTCGCCTTTTGGCAAGCTTATTGGAATGTATGGTGGTTCCATTAATTAGTTTGTCATCTGTAGGTGGTATTTTTTGTTTAATTGGATTCAAGGATATACCCAAAAAGTGATCCAGTTCTCTAAATCTGTAATAATTTGTTGTAGTACTCAATTCAGCCCAGCATGCTGTGGAAGGCGTTTTGAAACAATATTGAGTTTGAGTAAGGAAAAGTGAAAAGTGAAGAGGAAAGCGTGTTTTATTGTTCAGCTTTATAACAAAGACTATTAAAGTATTAATCCCCATTACAGGGCTGGCCCTGACCAATTTGCCGCCCTAGGCAAGATTTCAGTAGTTCTGTTAGTATAAGATAATAAGATGTACTTTGTTGATCCAAAATCGGGAAATTGTGTATTATGAAATTTTAAAAAACAATTATTTTTAATTTCTAACTTTTTTTTCCTTTTTTTCCGGCGCTTTTTTCTGGGTTGATTAGCATTCGCCTATACTACCTATGCCGAGGGCCGGCCCTGCCCCATTAAACCCTGCTGCAAACTGCCGGAGGTTACAGTCTGCCGGACAACTTCATCTGCAAAAATAGTAGTCTTCTGTACTGGTTTCCCCTCAATTAATAATGCCCCCTTAATTTATAACCACATACTGCAGCTTAATTGGCTGTCTTTCTCCAGAATTGAACCCTTGGAGCTGTCTCAAAAACAGTACTAATGTCATGCTTCTATTAAAGTTATACAGATATTTGAGCCAGCACTAATAAAAACAGAGACCAAGCATTTGGTTCACTTATTTTTCTTTCTTTTACATCAGCCTTGTGCCATTATAAAAACCACTGGAGCTGCATTTGTCAAGCAAGCTTTAGAACTGTGGATCTCGCTTGCTTGCTCTTTATTGCATGAATGCTCTGAAACCCAAATCAGTAATCCCCTCACACTGCCTTTTGCCCCTTTCTGCGCTTCTATTATATGCTCTATGGTAGGCGCGTTTCCTGCCATAGAGCTGGGGCTGACCTCCTAACAAAGAACAGGTTCAATCTGCCTCCCCTCCCCCAACTCAGGAAGCTGATGAGGGTCACATGACCTTTCTAGACAGCACTGAGGAGCAATGGTAATGTGTACGGGTGGGGGAAGGGTGCTGCAAGTCACACGACTCTTTTTGTGTCGTTATTAGGCTGAGCAAATGCGTGGAAAGCTCAGTTTGTAGCAGGGGAATATGCAGTTCGGTATCTATTCCTCTTTGTGCTCTGGTGTCCATTGACATATTGGATTTAGCTCCCTAAGCTCGGCTGAATGGGAGCACGGGGGCCTGGCTGTCAGAGCCAGTCTGGAGGAAAATGATTCAATGTGTGTGTGTGTGTGTGTGTGTGTGTGTGTGTGTGTGTGTGTGTGTGTGTGTGTGTGTGTGTGTGTGTGTGTGTGTGTGTGTGTGTGTGTGTGTGTGTGTGTGTGTGTGTGTGTGTGTGTGTGTGTGTGTGTGTGTGTGTGTGTGTGTGTGTGTGTGTGCAGTTCACTATGAGCTTGTGGCATTAATGGAGGGAAAAAGAGAGCATTGTGTACTGTACAACACCACCCCCAGTGTCTTCCTCCCCTCCCCCACTGCAACCATCCACACAGCCTGATATGCAGGAGGCTTCCTGTAGTAGCCTACACTGTTATGTCATCGTCTACAGACCTATTTTACAGACAAAGCATAGCAAAAGGAAAGAGAAAGACATCTGTATTTACAGATGTAATTGCTTTAGTTTCACATGAGCATCTAGACAGTTGAGCTTTAATTTTCTATGCAGGTGATGACAAATGCCACAAACATGCTGTTTATATATAACACTGTTTAAGATGTTTTTTTCAAAGAAAATCTAGGTGTTTAAACAGACGTGTCACTTTAGGAAGCCACATTCCTCCTCCGTCATAATCAAATTCCTTTGACAGAACAGGGGGAGGGAGAAAAGGCGGGAAAAGCAGACAGATGTCATAGATTCAAGGGTTGAGGACAAAGGTCAAGGGTTGGTGACCTGGGCATCCAACAGACTCGCCTTCTCTTTCCTCCCCCTCCGGCACAAAGACAGTCATTGACTTTACAAAGCTTTTTTTCTTACAGTTACATTTAAATCTTTAAGTGACACAGTTTCAAAATGTTCACTCAAGATGTAGAGTAATATCCCACATAAACCATAGTAAGCCTACATAATTTTTTAGGAAATGTTCTTCTTAATATCTTTGTTGAAAGTTAGGTGGAAAGATTGACAGCATTCTTCCATACCAGGTTTATCAATTATTTCATCTTATTCAGCAATAAAGCCTATTTTTATCGAACTGTCAAACCAATCCTTATAAAGTGTTTATATGTATTCATGTGTTAGTCAGAAGAGCCCGACCAATCATTTGTGTCAGTTAAATAATTGAGTATAAATTGCAGACATAGCAGTTAGGCCTTTACATTATGTAATTTTGTTTTAACCAGTGTGTTTAAAACAATAATGGTTAATACTGATGGAGAAGTTGAATGGAGATCTACGCAGCACAAATGCCACAGATGGGTTTCCATGGAGACCATTGTATCAATCTTGTGATATTCCTGCTATTTATCACAATGTATTCATGTTGTGA